CGATGATTTTTTCTAAGGCTTCTAATTTAATCCACTTTGTGAAATAGCCTACTGTGAAGATCATAAGCTTTATCTACCTGGGAGATAATGTGAAAGGGACAAAGATATCCATGCCCCATTAAGAAAAAGTACACATTCCTATTAGTAAGTTGAGCTCTGTCGTAGGGGCAATATGAATGTATCCATGCCTCTAACACTACTCACACTTATCCACATAGGTTTGGAGTCTTGAACCATGGACGTCCAATAGTCTCAAGCTATGAGAACCTTCCCGATGAGGGTTCTCGCTCCTAGGTATTCAGTGAAAAAATTGTTGTGTACTTTGGAGAGAACACACATGGCTTCTTCTCCTTCAAGGAATTTTAATAGGATGTAGACAAACCTTTTATGAACAGTGTCCCCCCTAAGATTGGCTATGAACTTGCCATTCTCTTTACAAGGCTAGCTTTAAAGGGGTCAGTTTTCAAAACTCCTAGCGCGATATATACAATGACATTTGAAATCCTGAAAAGTTAGGGAGAGGGGTGATTGTCGCCTCCGCCTCTGGATCACGAGGGGGAGATTGGTGAGCCCGAGAAAAATGACATTTTGGTGACTCTGGGATTCTCGGGTGCTGTAAGTCGATGTCACCGAGAGCTACTTGACGCTTGATTATGAGTTTACTTCATGATGTTACCTCTCATTGTAAACGACCTTGAGGTAGAGTCACTTGTTGATTCTTTTCTACTCATAAGAGTCTCTTATCTATGAGGTGTGCATTATGATGTTGTACCAAATTGTAAATGCCGATGACCAGTTTATTTTCTCATTGCATTCCTAGAGTAGCCTGGAGTCGGTGGAGGATCTAAGACATCTATGGTGCAGGAACTTATGCCCCATATTGAGGTTGTTTAAAGGTATGGTCTTGAAGCCATTATTGAGAAGGCTGGAAAGTTGAAAAGTTATAAAAAGTTCCTCAATGGGTAGATGATAGGACTCAAGACCAAGGAGATGAGACAATTGGAGAAGTTTCAAGGACTGATTCGACTTCTCTTACGGTAAGAGGTGGAATTTCTTTCGCAAGAGTAAGGACTAGTGCAACAACTTTAACTGTGGTGTTGTCATTATGATGTGCGACTATCCGAATTGAGTTGGGTGCTACCTTTATTGGTGAAGAGTTAACGCGAGATTAGAATGGGAGATGATGGATGGTTGCGGCGACACAACAAGTAGGATTTGGTGGATTGTTGTTAAATTTGCAAGAATCGGAAATCGATTTTCACATAAAACGCCACTATTTTGGTGTGGAACAGGAGATCAATGAGGTAATAGTAGTAATTATTCCGATGCGGTGATATGAGTCTCTAATTCGGTGGAGCGTCGATGAACACGCAATGTTAACAGTCTAACACCCAAGTCAGTGAGCTCAGAGAGATGCAACTTTACAAAAGTGAATGAATAATGCATGTTATGACGCGTGACTGAGATTATATATAATAGACAATTAAAATCACTTTTGTTTAGTCCGACGAGAGATGCATGAGATCGTCTAATTTGATCTGACGGTTGGTGATGAGCAAGTATCCGATGTGCAACCTTTTTATAATAGTCTCCTTGTTCGTATTTCATCTAAAAGATGTTTTGATTGGATAGCTCGAATTGAGACAATCTTATTGGGTCGAACTGAAATGCTTTTGAATCTTACTTATTTTATATAATAAATTCAAAAATTAGACCATACATCAAACCGAAAAACTTTCAAACCATCTTTCAAACGGATTTTTTAAGTTGCCGGACTCAAAATTTAAGTCCAGTTTCAAATTTGACCGATTGAAACTGCAAGTCCATTCCAATTTTTATAACATTAAATAAAACTAGATAAATATTCACATTGAAATAGGATATTTAAAACAATAATTTTAGGCTTATTTTATTTAGTCTTCGACCCAATATATAGTGGAAAACATAATAATTCGTTTGACATATTGGTTTGGAAGCTGTAAGCCAGCAAAGTCATCATATAGATCTATGTATAATTTTTCAAACTTATTAAATGAAGACAACCATGTATATACTGTAAATGATCGATGATATATAAGATTTTCTATTTTAAGAATGAAAAACCAAGAAACATGTGAGAACAAAACTATTGAAAACGTGCCTCCAACTATTAACTCTGTCAGATTATGCCAACAAATCAAAGGAATCTTAATAATTACTTACTTTTAGAACTCATTTATGAAAATAGTAAAAATATGTAAAAATTTGTAAAAACAATTACAGTCGAAGATCATTAATGCAGATTACAATTACCAATAAAATTTAAAACTAAATATTTATTTTATTTCAAATTACATATTTATTAATAAATTTTTAATAATAATATTAAAAAGTAACAAACACCTAGACCAAAAAGAGAAGATTTATATATAAATTAATAAGAAAAGATTTATTAAAAAAAATGGAACAAAGAGAGAAGAAATAAGATATATAGGCCCGCGTTTTAGTAGCTCACCAACCGAACACCATAACTACATGCATACATAAACACATATAAGATCACCATCACTCCTTTTTTCATATATAAAAGTAGATTATTTTCTGTAATAGATTTATATATAGAAAAGATAAAAAGTGATTTTTTTAATAAAATTTTTAAAAACAATATATATTGTTTAAAATAATAGAAATTATTTTGGACTTTGTGCGAGACCCATAACAAAAGGTCTAATAACAACATCAATGAAATGGATGATCATTAAACGAAAAAGCAAACGATTTTGCTCTTTAGACGCGTCAATCAGAGTCGTTTCAAAATTTTGAAAGACTTTGTAAGAAATTGAAGTAACCATGAATTAACCGTGAAATATGTGCACACGAGCCCTTTTTTCCATAACTTAATCATAAAAAAGTGTGAGACTTTGAGCTGTAAGCCGCCTCACACACCCTTAAAGGTGACCATGGTGTTAATCACCGTATGATTAGATCCAACGATCACTCACATAATGCGTCTCATCTCACTTCTCATCAAGCGCATTATTCCAAATATTCAAAATCCAATCGCACTCTTACATTACTCTTTACTCTCATATTGACTTGTATGTTGAAGTGATAACCTTGCAAGTTAGATCCCTCTCTGCGACATTGCAAACAAAAAACCACTAAAGCAAAATATTGTTTCATCAAATCATATACCATCTCTAATTCTGAGCTGAAGTATGGTGTTGTATGTGGGAAACGAGTTTTAATTCCTACAAATTCCTCAAAGAACAATTGTTTCTTCGTTGCAGATCTAGATCTTTGATTCTTTTCTCGTAAAACACTTCAAGAATAAGTTCTTTCTGGTTACCCCATCAATGAGGAAGCCCGTGTTAAAATATGCTCAATAGATCTCAAGTTGCCTTATTAATGCTCAGATATATTTTCAATGTTTTGTCGGCAAAGCCACTTCTTATCAGACTTTGAGTCTTATATTTATAGGATATACAATTTGTCTCAAGAAGACATTTTTTCAATCTGCAGCTGGTATCCTTCTTTGAGGATCTGAGTTATGTCAGAGGCATTTTCCTCCCAATGCAATGTCGAAGAAACAACTGAAGCGATATGACGACCTTGATGCAATTATTCCATTTTTTCAAAGTTCAATGTAGCTCATAAACTTCGAGAAAGTGACAAGGCTTGATATATTTGTGGCAGTGCACTAGGATGTTCAATGTTTATTCTGATAGTGTGAAGTATTTCAAGAATTAGATTGTTTTGGGTCGATTTACGTGGCCCATAGCGGAAGACTCAAGAGCGGCATCAAGAGGAAGAATGCATGAAGTAGGTGATTCCTCATTCTACGAAGAGTAGTCGATTTCTCCCTCAGGACACGTCAATTACCATCTCGTTAGATCAAATAGCTACCCTCAAAATGTGCATCATCCCATGCGGAAGATTTTAACCGTTCACACTATATAAGGAGAAAAAACACAATATTCCAAATATTCAAAATCTGTTTCCACTCTCATATTACTCTTTACTTTTACACTAACTTAAATGTTAGAGTACTAACCTTGCATGTCAGCTCTCACTCTGCCGCACAAATAACTCAAATCCACCACCACATGATATTACTACATCAAATCATCAATCATCTTTGCACCAAACAAAAACTATTTTAAATTTATTTTTTATAAACTATTCTTTTATGAAATTAAATAACTTAAAAATAAATTTAAAATTAAAAAGTTATTTAAGATAAAAAAAATTGTAATAAATTAATAAAATAATCACAAAAAATTTATTTACAAAAATTTATATTATAGAGGTTTAGTATCACACGCATCTCAAATATAATTTAGAAAAATACCAAACCAAAATTGACTTAAAATAATTTAATTCAAACTCAATAAAATACATAAATGGACAACTCTTCTCACAACCCTTAAGTTCAATATATTATTAATTAATATCACACTTGTCATTCTAAAATCTTTCTCTCTCTTTTCTCATCCTTATTCATATTTTGTCGAATGTCTTATAATCTCCTCCTTAATTAGAAACAAACCCTTCTCTTAATTCTTTCATTCATTTTAGATTTTCCATTTCAAACTCAATTTCTCATTTAATTTTGATTTTCCCTATATACAAAATTAGGAAATTAATTAAACAAAGGTTTTTGCATGTGTGATCAATATCATTCCCTCTTAAAAAAAGTTTCATTTCATATAATCTTATCAAATGGTTTCAAAAACAATGGCTTCTAGATTTGAAGGAAAACCCATCTTCCTCATTTCAATGTTCTTATAGCTTCTTCAACATCTTAATCCTCTTCAAGGTATACCCTCTAATCATCTTTGTATTCTATCATTCATTCATAGACTAATTATTCATTTTTTTATGATGAAACTTTAATCATATTCTTATTGTAACAGGCAACAAAAGCATTAATTTGTACCTCAAAAATCCAGTTTTTGCTTCCACATTTTTTCATCCTTTAAATTTAGAAGCCATTTTGAGGTTGTGTTTGTGTTTCCAACATGACAATTAAAGGGATCTACAACAAAGGTTGCAAGTACATTAATAATATTTTTGGTAATTTATCTATCCTTACTCTCCCAATCTCTTAATTTTCCAATTTTTTTATTTTTTGTTAATTTTTTTTATCATATTTAACTTAAAATTTTGTTTTTAAAAAAATCAGTTTATCGAACAGATTTATGATTTAGATAAATTGATTATAATATTTTAAAAAGATAAAATCAAAATTTTCTTTTTTTCCTTTTGATTCAAGCCTAAAATTTTTAATTAAGAAATTAGAAGAAAAATAATCTTTTTTCTCTAATTAAATTCATAAATATTATTATATTTATTATTATTATTTTTGTTTTTTTAGTTGTGAAGGAGAGGGAGATTGAAATTGGGTGTCCAACAGATGTTAAGCATGTGGCACACATTGGATGGGATGGTCCCACTGGAGGTGGGCCCAGTTGGGTATGAATCATTCATGTTTATTATTTTTCTTTTAATATCTTAATTTTGCAATTATTGATTTTTTTTGGATTAAATGTTTAATAATATATATTTTGTTATTGTTGTTGGGTTTGCAGATGAATGAATTTAAAACAGCACCTGATTTTTCAACATCAATTGGTAGCTTGAATGAAAGAAAAGACCCTAATCTAAAGGCTGAATCTACATCAGATTCCAATCAAGGTATGCTTTGATTTTAGCTTCCAAATTTGTGCCCTCTTTTATTTCTATATCAATTTTATTATTTTTAAGTTATTACAAATATAAATTTCATGTCCACTAGGAAATTGAATTTAATTGGTATCATTTTGTTCATTGTTTGATTAAATGTAGTATTATTTCTTAACAACATCTAAAACATTTGAACAGATGTTAAAGATCCCACAATAAATAAACCAACACCAATCATGTCCAAAGGTGACATTCCATCTGATGATAGTGCTACTCATCATGTTCCTAAAAAACCAAAAAGAAAAAAGACAAAACCAACTTCCTCTCCTAGATCAAGACAAACAAGAGCACCAAGAGCACCAAGGCCAAAGGGTGTGTATAGTGAAAGAGATTGTGAAAGAGAAGAAAAACCAATTGCTCAAACATTTGAAGACTCAAATTGGCAATGTTAATAGCAAGAACCATATGAATGTCCTTAATATAGGGACACTAGGGTTTCAAATAAGTTTAATTGACCAAGCTATTAAGATTTCAATGTTTTGTATTTCATAGTTGAGTTGAAGAATGTCTAAGGTGGAGGAAAATGTGGTTACTTTAGGGTGTTTGGATTGTGTGCTAGTGTTTGGTTTTATGTGATATATTTTGACCTTAAATATATAATTTTCATTGTAAATTTTTTAGATTAAATGAAGATATGGAGGGAAAATATAGTAAAAGTTATTCATTTGTACAAGATCAACATCAATATGCAATAATTGATTGTTATTGTAGTAGAATACTCTTTGTGATAGATTTTCAAAATGTATAATAGAATCAAAGAAAGAATCCCAAAAAATGTGTTTCTTACAATAATAACAAATCACTTGTGATAGAATGGTTTTGTTAAAGGTATTTAACCAAGTTCATTTTAACTAGGTAGATAATTCACATCTTAAAAACAATCTTTTTATTTATGTTATTAATATATAAGTGCTTATAAACTATGGCTTCTATTATTTATTTTATTAGAATTATTTAGTTGAATTGGAGTTTAACTAGATGAACCATGATCTAGAGTTTTTGTCAATTTGACATTCAACTAGATTTGTTTGGGAATTTTTAGTTGATATATTTATTGGTTCAAGTTGTGACTTTATATTTAAAACAATTTGTTGACCCTAAATGACTTTTAACAAATGAATTTAATGATTACAATGAAATTTGAGTTACATCATTTTCGAATCATAATTGATAGGTTTTTTATTTAAGTTTTAATTATTATTTGAATAACTTATATTGTTCAAACTTCATGGTATAAAAGAACGAAGAAATGATAGTAAAATACAATAAAGAAAGAAAAAAAAGTAAATACTGAGTTATATATTGTACTGGTATATTTGCAAAGGATCCACAAGTGGTGGAATATGGGTTTTCTAAAGACAAGTGACACAATATGTCGTCTCATCAAGCTTCTTAATTGCCTGTGTTTTTTTTGGAACATGCATCCATTTCCTAATCATCTCGCTCATTGCTTAGATTACTCGCTCATTTATGAAAATATGGGGAGTGGTGTAATTGTATGGGAGAGGAAGTCAAAAAGGAGAAGGATGAAACCACATTCTTCAGAATGACGGGTGACGTAATTGCCCATTCCCACATTCCTGAGGGAAAGAAATGTTGTTACTCCTTCCCTGGATCCAAAGATTCAGGCCCAAGAGATTCCTCTAAATACCCCAACCCTAAGGCTGAGTATGATGTTCAATTCTCTCTAAAAACACCATATACAGAACTTATCACCATCCCTGTCTGAGCTTGTTCTAACAACACAACAACCCTAAAATCCTCTGTCAGCCTTACATAACAAGAGATTGTCACCTTTTGTACTTTTAGCATCGACACTCACTGTAGGCCCCTGGTAAAACTAACCTAAGCCCCTATCACATCAACCGATTAGATTGTTATCCTTGTGTCCAACTCCTTTATCTAACATGGTAAGAAATAATGTAGTAACTCCAGCTAAGAATGAGTTTTACAACGATGAGGATGCCATGTCAAAAATGCATACTGCCATGGGTGACTTACATTTCCATAATCAAACTTCAAAGGATATTGTTCTTCACATCCAACAACGCGAGCAGGAGGCTGGCCCTCTTGAGGAGACTGAAATCACATACTCATAACCTCTTATGATGAGATATGGGGGCACCGGTACCATAGATCTTAAAGCCTCCCTCATTGGTCAAGTTTGAAGGTAGCAACTTGTAACGCCCAGACTGCTTTCAAGATTACCGATTGACCCCACAAACCAACACATGTCTTTTCATCATGCTTTGCCCTGACTTACACGCTTTCTAGGAAACTTCCCAAAAGGTCACCCATCCAAATACTACTCCAAGACAAACACACTTAACTATTGAGTTCTTATTTGTTAGGCTACCTAAAAAGAAGATAAACTTTGTTGGTATAGGTAGTACACATCAATCCTTATAAGCATTCCTTCAACAATGCATTCTCATACATTCACAACCTCATGATCCCTCTCATTCTGATGTGAACTCAACTTGAGATGAAGCACACAAAATGGTTGAAAAAAGGTAGCTAGATTCGAATAAAAAATATGATTTAATCAAATGAGAAAAAATGAGGTAAAACTAAAGAAATACTCAAATTTTGAAAGATATGTCAGTTGATCCGAATCAGAGAATACATGATTCAAATCACAAGCTTTGTGATTCAAATCAAGAACAAAATGTGATTCAAATCAAATGGCTCAGAACTGACAGGAATTTTAGGCAAAATAGTTTGATTCAGATCATGTTGAAAGTTTCATTTGAATCAAATCAAACAGAATCAACCATTATTTGTGGGAAATGAAATTGATTTGAATCATGTGAAAATTATGATTAGAATCAAATCAGATAAAATCTGTTCCCAAGAAAATGATCAGGATAATGTGAAAAATATGATCAGGATCAAATTGATATGTTGAGCTACCGTCCAATTTGATAAGAATCACAAATTCAATGTAAAATTGTCTGATTCAAATCAATCTTGTAAATTCTCAAAATTTCAAGTTTTCAAAAGCTTTTTGAGATTTTACCTTGAATGAAATTTTGTCCAAAAACACAAGGTGATTTCCTTTCATTATCATATGTTATTGATTAAAGAGCATTTAGATCAAGATCAAATATAACCAAGGTTTTATGCTTGCTAAACATGAGAAATGCAATCATGAAGGAGACTCAAGGAATCGAAATAAAAGTACAGATTAAAGTGATAAGACAAGCAACAAAATAACCGGATAGTAGAGACATGCAAATACAATCTCCCCCTTTTTTATGCTTGGCAAGATTTCACTTCGAATTGAGTTGACCTTTGAGAACATGTGTAACTCTCCCTGAAACATTGCACTCAAACAACTCACAACCTAAAAAATACAATAAACAATTCTAGATTCATTACAACTTTTCTCCCTTTGACAACATCAAAAACATATAGTTTAAAATGCGTCTAAAAACCAAGGAAACAACCACAAACCTATAATTCCAAAGAACATATGAGCTAAATAGCTAAGACGTATATACAACAATCACGATCACATATTCAACAAAGATAAATATGTCACAAGCAATATAACACAAATAGACATGCAACAAAACCGTTCAACAACTAACAATTGAGTGATCAAACTTATAAATCAAGGTATGCATTAACAATCATAAATAATGCATGAACAAGTAATCAAACGTTCTTATTCATATAACTAGCAATACACATTTAAAACACTTAAATGCAACTAAGAAAAATCAAAGACATAAGCTGGATATGAATTAGTAAAGTATGGAGAAAATAAGCAAACCAATGCATAGCTCTATCTCAAAACACGTAGAAGCTATAATTTTAGGTTGGTAGAAGCTACAATTTTAGGTTGGTAGAAGCTAAAATTTTCTATAAGAAAGTGTTAGTGCAATAAAAAAATATAGCAAAAGAAACTAAAAATCAAAACATCATTCTACTAAAGGCAAGATGAGTCTAAGACTCCTAAGTCCCTACATATTTTGTGGAAGGATTTCGAAGACAGTAATTTTGTAAAAATGTCAGCAAACTGACTTTTTGTGTCAACATACTAAAAAATAAAGTCTCCTTTCTCCACGTGATCTCTCAGAAAATGGTGTCGGATCTCAATGTGTTTAGTCCGTGAGTGTAGTACTGGATTCTTAGTAAGACTTATAGCACTGGTGCCATCACACTTAATTGAAACACAATTGTTAGATTCCAAATTTCACTTATTTGATCTATCAAATGTTGGCATCTTTCACTCATTTTTGTCAAGAAAGTGTTGAAAACCACTCTTGCTTTGTTTGGTTTGCAATATATTGTGAAAATCTCTTGGTACCTTTGATTTGTGTGCTATTGTGCAGGAATTAGGCACAAAACAAGTGGAAATTAAGACACAAGAAATGGGCAAGGAAACCAAGACAACATGAAAACAACAGAAAGTTTGCTAGGCGAACTTGCTAGCGAAGCTCCCTCCAAAACTTCATGAAGTTCGCTAGGCGAACTATGTAGCGAAAGGCTCGCTAGGCGAAGTGGTAGCGAATCTCTAGCGTACACTCCCAGACTTGACGCAGGGGCGAAAGGAGCATAAATTCGCTAGGCAAATCTCGTAGCGAAGGATTTGCTAGGCGAAGGAATTGCTCGCCTAGCGAGTATCTGGAAATGTCTCAGGGGCGGTTTGACTGTTCAGTGGCACCTCACGTGCATAACTTATTGTTCGCTAGGCGAACATGACAGATCCTGAATGTTCTATTTAAGTATTTTTCTTGCTTTTTAGGTTATTTTTTCCATATTGTAACATTAGATACATCAGAGCTTATCTCTCTTCATTTATTTTAGAGAGAGGAACACAAAACCGCAAGAGGGAGGAGGTAAGATCTTTGATCTCTTGTTGGGGTTTGGATGTAATCTTTTGATACCTTATGTATTTCATCTAATTTATGTTTGTGAACTAGTTTGGATTCTCTATTGATTGATTATCTTTGATTATGTATTTGTGGGTCTTGACAAAACCTTTTCACATCTTTGATCTCAGATTTTCTTCTATCAATGAACAAACTTTTGACATGGTTTTGAAGTTGATATTCATTGTATCTTCTATGGTGTTATGTTGATTAAGTAGCATGGGTAGCATGGGTAGGATCAATATGATATTGTGTGGGTATATGATAATAGTGATGAAGAATGATGTTCATAACCATTTGGCAGATTAGGTGAATTCATGTAAAAAGGGTTAAGCGTGTGTACGTATTCTGATCATTGTGTTTTATGTGAAACAATCGTTTATCTGATATGGGTGTCGTCTTTTCTTACCTGTTTATCTTTGATTTGAACCGTAATAGAGATATACTCTTCAGATCTGGATCTAGGATGATTACCTGTTAGGTCCTAAATGCTAGAGATAGGTTTAGGCTTA